TGGCCGAGTTCAGCAAAGTTCTTAGCTCCTTGGACAATCGGCGTTCGAGCATTGTCTTCCATTGGGACTTGTCATGGCCGGAATATGTTGAGTCGGCGAGGTTGTCTTCGAAAAGAGGTATAAAATCATGAAAATTCATATCTCGCTGGTATAAAGTTTCCACCGTTCGACTTGCTCTTTCCGTTAAGTACGGATCATGACAAGGTTCCCAGAGAGCATCGTAGAACTGATCAATTGAGTTTATCTCCGAGGGTATTAGTTGGGTCCTCGTAGCAACGGAACGAAGTTCACATTTTTGACAGGGCCGCAAGTCCAAGGCAACGATAGGCGTATCGCACTTTAGAGCCTTCATCTGGAAAACAATCGGCTTGATCTATAAATTGATTCTGGAATTGGGAGCAGAAGGACCTTAGGTTGGTTGATTCACCATTAGAGGGTGTAATCGAAGGGGCCGAGGGGCGGTGTAAGCTAGATGCGGTTTGGGCAGGAGGCGAAGTGGCGACAGTAGAGATAGGGGAAGAGCTCGAGGCTGCCGCGTATATTTCTGCAACGCGCGATGAGTCAATCTTGACTGCAAGAGTCAGGACACCAGGGGCGTTTAAGTAAGCAATACTCCATAGCTTAGGAAGAAGCATTGTCATCTCTGCTTCTGAGGTATCCATGTACTCTCTCGGTGGAGAGAAAGAGATAAACATGAGAGTATGGTATTTATAGTATTTTATATTGACGCTTTGTAATGCCAGGCGCAGGCTCACTAGGCGCAAGACTTGAGGCGTAAGAGATGGTGTAGCGTACGAGGTACTGAGGATGGACGCCTCGTGGGAACGCAGAGGGCTTTCTAGAAAGGTAATAAAGGAGAACGCTGGGAGTCGTTCTGGATAAAGTGGCCGGAGGTGACGGTAGGTCACTATGGGTGGCAGAGGACGAGAGTGAGATGTAATTAGAATTATGTAACTATTCCTAAAGACAGAAAACAAAGTGTGAAGATCTCAGTCTCGGAAATAGAAACGACATACGTGCCCTCGCTAGGCAATAAAGACTAGTGGGATTAAACAAGGAACCCATGAGCCCTGCCTAAGGCGTTTGTCTAGAATCCTTACAGTAAGGTTGTGGTCCCTTACTGGCATTGAGCAGCAGATGAGAATTCGTTTTCGGCAGTAGCCTCTACGGCTTTCTGCTTAGCTTCTAGTTCGCGGATCGAAGTGTTCCTGTCTTGGAGACCCTGTTAGCGTATTACTGACAGCTAGCCTTTCGTTCGCTGCACAGCTTTACCGCCTACACGGGTTGGTCTTGCTATACAGTATGGCTCAATTTCAGAGTGTGGCCCGTGGCAGTTCATGCACCTCGTGATTATTTGTTTACACTCGGAAGCTTTGTGCTCGATTGAGCCGCAAAGTGAGCATCGTTCCACTCATGAGCAGATCTTTGTGTGGTGTTGTCCCCGACACCGGTTACATTGCGCAATTTTGGGCCTGCGCTGGAGTTCTTGTAGGCGACCGCTCTCTTCGAAGAGTCTTTCTCCCAGTTTTGGTTTTCCTGTTGCAAAGTGCAACACCCAGTCAGTTGATGGCATCGCCGTGCTTGTCGCAAAAGCACGAGCTGAGGTTGGTCTGATGCCGGTTTTAAGGGTCGCTTCCTCAATCAGCATATCTGCTGTAACTGGGGTTGGACCTTCAAGGGTGTAAAGACTATCGGGAATATTTGGTGCAAGCACTGGGATCCAATTGTAGGCAGCTTCCAATTTATTTTCCACGCTATCTAAGAGAGTGGCACCCGAAAGGAGCGCGCTTCTTGCTCCATCTCCTTCTGCTTGTATCGCAAACCCCGAGTTTACGACAGTGACTTGCTTGATTGCAGAGTTAGCCATGCGTAGCTTGCTCGCAAGGCTTATTTTTATGAAGTGGGGGGACATACATCTCCACGGATGGTCGGGCTTGACCGGCAGGAACACACGCTCATCTGGGCGGGCTGGTTTGGAAGCTGAGGCATTAGGCCTCGTCGTTTTCGCAGGTAAGCTGGCTGGTAGCGATGTTGACGCCACTGATTGTACAGGCTTTGGCTTTTTCTTCACCACCTTTGTCCAGGATCTCTCAGTAGTGTTGGAGCTTTGTCAAAGCCGGCTCTTTGCCTGGCTGCTGCTTTCTCTCGCGGAGATTTGCACTGGTCGTGGAGTGCTTGCGCTTTTCTTTCCTCCCGGCCTAGATGCCGGCACGGCAGGTTGTGTCGTTTTGCTACCACTGGCAGCCTCTGTTAGCCCACTGGGTCTGAGCTTGTTGGGGTTTCCACGCAGAATGTCTACTACCATGGCCTGTAGGGCCTCTCCATTATTTTCAACAGCTCGTCGAAGCTGATGGTCAGTTGTGCCGGCCAGTAGGTCAATGTACCCACAGATAAGACGCTGAGCCTCTGCAAAGCGTGTGTTAAAAGCCGTCGCTTCATCTGCGAGGAAGTTAGTCAAGGTTACACCCATTAACTCGGTGTGGTTTGGGGGCGAGTATTGGCAGCTCGCCTCGCAGGTCGGCTCTGCGTTTGTTTGTATGTTTTCTTCGTGGTTGGGTGGCCCTGTGAAGACTATTTCGACGTCAGGACGCGTCGAATTAACGGATGGAAGGGGGGGCCAAGAGCCAGCCTCTGCAGAGGACTTGGGCGGCATGAGTGAGTGAGTGAGGTGTGTGTGGCAGTGTGAGATCGTAAATGGTATACGAGAGCGTTGTTTCAAGGGCTGTGTTAGTTAGGCAGTTAAAGGTGTCGTTGGAGAATCAAGGGCTTTTTTTTGTTCATTAACGTGCTCGGTTAAGTGACTACCATTGCACTCCTACTGGGGATTAGTGTAATTCCCTCAGTGTATCTTCTCTTTTCTTCCTTCTTCGCACACATCCTGTTTCATTATGACTTTCCTCATTAGGGCGTGTGTAGGTAGGTAATGTGACGAGTATAGAGGTGGGTCGCAGGTGTGAGATCGACTGAGGTATGGGTCGTCGCAAATGTAAAAGGAGTTCGAAAGATGTCAGATGTTTGAATACGACACCCAGATAGACCTAGGCCCATTCGTGAATCGTATGTTAGTGGTGATGAGTTTTTGTTCAATTTTGTTTCGGCTGTGAAATCTCTGTAGACTGATTCTTCGACCAAAATTTCGTGTGCAGCTCCTTCAAGTCGAAAATCCATCAAATGAAAACCTACCCACCCTTTTTCGTAACTGAATCTCGGCTCTGGGAGAATGTTTCACTCCCAGGTTCGTAGATGGCACCACTAACAGGTGTTCAGCCTTCGTCCTCCCGAATCAAGGGCTTTGTTGGTTAGGCTGTCAAAAGCTTCGCTGAAAATGTGATTCCCTAACCGATTGATTGAGAAAAAAAACGGATGGACCTAACCTCATGGCGAGCGGGGTAATGAGGAGAGACAGTCTAACCTATTACAAGTTAGCCCAATTGCGCCTGCAGGGCTAATCCCATAAACGACCCGATTTCAAGCTTGCCCAGAAGAAAATACAATCCGTCTGTAGTAAAATCAAGCTGCCCAGAAAATGGAGAGAAGATATGCGAACAATACACAGGAGGAGAAATCTTGCCAACTGGACGGGAATGTGCGGTGAACAAAAAACCAAGATGACACATGCAGAGATACTGAAAGTTATGGCATACCAAGAGTGGGCGAAATCTTGGGCCAAGCAGAAACAAACTCGGAAGCCTCCGCGGTTAGCAACTGCAGACCCCGAAACTCGGAGAGCAGCCAATTTTTACCAAAGTAGATAGTCTGGACGGCAAAAACCGAGTTTTCAAGGCTCACCATTCTTTCTATATCGTAACCTGACAAGGGTCTAAAGCAGTTTGGCAATGCAAATACGAAGTGAGCACATGGGGCTTAACTCGTATTTACATAGAAGAAAAGTACCCGAAGTATTAAGTCCAAGGTGGCCATGTGGCTACCGATCACAGAACCCCAAGCATATGATTATGTCCTGCCCCCGATGGTCAAATGGTAGAGCTGAGATCTGGAGACAAGCTAAAGATCGGTCCTACGAAGCGATGATAAACAATCCTGGAGATATAAAAAGGATGACACGGTGGATCCCAAACCATGATTGGATAGAGCAATTCCAGATGACAAAGGCGATCGAAATGCTGCTGAGGGAGAGGAAAAGGTCAAATAATGCTTGGGGTGGATGGAAATGATCTAATTAGTTTACATGGACGGCAGTGTAGTATAACTGCGCTTCCTGAAGAAAATATGCGAAAACTAAAAACAATAAGTAGAAAGGTGTAGGGGGTTTTCACCATAAAGGTTTTCCCCCGTGTAAAAACTATAGATTGTACACACCTGCATGAGCCCATAGAGCGCCAAATCAGGATAATGAAATCAAATTCAAACCCCGATTTCAAGTTTTACCCTTCCTAATCCAGAGGGATTGTATATGAGAATAACTAAATTCACGCGGGTAACATGAAATGCTGTAACGCAATAAGAAATGACAGAAAGTACTGCGTGTTGCATCGCTCAATTACAACCCCTGATGGATTCAAGTAATTGCACAGCAATCAACAAAAGTTTAGAATTTCCAGAATCCCGGAGCTTTATTATTACAACCAGATCATGATGAGGGTATCACAACCACCTAAATTTATCGTAGAAACTCTTCTTGATGATACAATAATCTTATTCACAACAATACTCTTCCCCTCTCAAGCTCAAAAGATCTTCTTAATTTCGGACATCTCTCATTGATACTTAGTCCGCTCACCTGCAACTTATCTTTATGTTGTCATTTCATTAGATCGTTCTTTTCATAGCCGGCTGATAAAGCACGTCCTGTTTACCCGAATAACACCGAGCTATTATTAACACATATCATGTTTTGATTGTACTAATCGCTTGTCCAGTTCCTTTCTAAAAAGGATGGACATAAACATGTCCCCGCTCGAATTTCAAACATAATCATATGATAGCGAATTCTACCCACTGAAGATAAAGATAGACGAATATATTAAACCAACTAGTTTTTATGCAAAGTTGACCTCACTTGTCTGTTTTTTGAAGTCCGTTTGTTGGAGATTCTTGATTTCTATCGAGACAAGAGCCTTGTCTTTATCATCTTTCTTACTACTCTCTTTGCTTGGTATGTCGGAGGGATAGACGATCGTCTCGCTCCTAGTTAATGTTGTAGCAGAATGTGGGTCCTCGGGGCTTAGGGGATGATCTGCATCAAAGAACGGCTCAGCAAAGCTTTTTTTGTGGTGTTTACTGTTTTCTTCAGGCTCTTTAGCAGTTGTTTTCTCTTTTTCGGATAGCTCTTCGGCCTTGCGCTGGAAAGATGTGCTACCCCAGCCTGTCTTACGTTTCTCTTCCATCCAGACTCCCCAACTTCCAATATAGGCGCCAGCTTTACTGCCTACACTTTGTGCTGTGAAACGTGCGACATTTGTGTCAACTTCAATAGGGATTGCTCGATCGTTTTCCTGTACTTTGTCCTTGGCCTCCTCAACTTTGCGTTTTTGACTATCACGCAGGGCCTCCATGTCAGAGTAAAGTTTGCTCAAAAGTGTGTTTGCTTTCTCTTTTCCGGCCAGCAGATTACGACCCAGTATCTCTTTCCCCACAGCAAACCTTTCGTCTAAATGAAACTCTTTCACTTGCTCCATCATGCGCGCTTTTACATCTTCGATGGTGAGTCCACCAGCGCAAGGATGTTTGGGTTCAACAATGTCGAATAGTTGACTATCAGTTTGGGAATCCCAAATACGATGGTTCTCGGAGCGAGTCCAAGCTTCCATCCATTCTTTACCGAAGTCATAAGAAGGGTCGCCTTCTACTTCTAGAATTATTGCACCGGGGTTGTTTTCATGTTCAAGCGTGTATTTATAGTATTTTACCGAGGAAAGAAGCGATATCAGATATTCTTCAAATTGGAGCCGTATGAACTCATCGGAGCCGATAAAGCCCATGTTCTTTGGGCGCGAAGGATTAGATTCATCCCAAGTATCATTGACCGACTGAGTAATTAAATCAATCCAGCGACGATCTGCTAAAGAAAGGGTAAGAGCGGATCGTAATGAGGAGGAGGATATATTTATGCTGTCTTCATCGAGATTGATAAGGATATCGCTATAGCGATCTTTCTGCTGTAACAATAGTGAATTTGTTGAGCCGACAATGTAGGATTTCGTACCAAAATCTGCGAGAATATCTAACTGTTGTAGAGGGGTGTAAGGACCAAATAAACTTCCCTTTATTTGGTCAGTGCAACAAGTGGAAGTTTAAAATTGCTAACATACCTTCCCAAAGATATGTAAAGGCATCCCCATGTAGGCTAAAAGTGAGTTCCTGTCACTCGTCTTCAGACTTGTTGGCTTGGCCATATTCCTCTCGTATGAATCCAATTCTGGATCGGCACACGCCTGTAGGTTGCGAATAAGACCTGGAATTAATGATATAAGGGAAAACTGTGTCATGCATAATTTTTCACACTTGCTGCCAAAAAAAAGCATCTACTATTCCATTTAGCTGGTTCATTCCAAAAAATCAGAAAACTTTGCGCACCACCTACCTTGGGCTGTAGCAAGCAACATTTAAAGAGCACGAGTGTCTGCCACCGGAATTGTCTGACCAACTCCCTCAGGCTCAAACCTGGGTACGCTTCCCGCTCTCTTTCTGCTTCAATTCCAGTCCTCTCTTTCTCTTCTAATAGGCTCTCCTGGAAGCGTTTCAAAATCTCGGTATCTTTAAAATCGCGTTGAGTAAACCATGCTGTTGTCACGACACTCAGTCGTTCTCTGAGCATTCCAAAAGACTGTGGCGAGTCGGCAATAACAACCACGGCTTTTTGAACAGTGGATCGGGTCACGTCATGTGGTCTATTTATAAGCATGGAAGCATCAATTTGTCGACTGCATGCAATTCCGAACAGAGAGGTAACTGTTTGGGAGGGGTTTGCCTTGCGCAAAAGGGTAAAGTAGGAGAACTCTTGAGTACTTCTATCCAAATGCATTAGCTATGTCTTCACAAACTTCGACGCCAGGGTCAAATTAGTGCTTCAAATTGAAATTTAATTGCTTACGCGTGAGCTCCATCCGAAAGGGCCATGAATGGTAACAGAGGCCAGTCATTTTCTATAGCGGGATCAGAGTTTTCAGGCGCTCCAAACCAGAACTCAACTTCGGGACCTCTACAGTCACATTAGTGCTATAAACTCACATCAAGAAGGGTTAAAGTTTGCTATTTTGAATCGTAAAAGACCTTGTAGAGGAAGAGATTCATGTTCCTACCTAACGTGGTGAAAATCTACAACTGATACCAATGGTGTAAAATCTTGATCATGGGCAGAGCTTGTAGCCGATGTGGTCTGTAGTTGAGGAAAAGCGTTTGGCGAAAGCGAAGGATCACCCGTACCAGGAGAGATATCTGTCAGTGACATTTTTTCCATGTTTATGAGTCAAGACTTTGACTTTCTTTGACAATTTTCACAATGCTAACGCTCACACCGGCGAAGCGCACGTAAGATGTTGCTTGAGTAGAACGGCATTGATGAAATTGAAACTAGGGTGATGTGGTTCTGAGACGATAAAAATACGTAAGTTAGTAATTCAATTCGACAATTGAGAGCTAATCACCGATTTGGTGTTTCATTCTATGTCTTACTGTCAGTTGTTTCAGTAATTCATTTAATTAGATCTGCCCCTTTAAGTATAAAATGTCGGGCCGAGCTTTGATGTCATTCTCCCGCTTATCATGTGAGATATATTTATCATTTGAACGATAGAGGGGAGAGGTGTGTTTATTGTACTACTTGAATTGTAGACTATCTAGCACATTGGGCTCCTTTCTAGCTCAGGATACATCTTGTATAGTGCTCCTTATCTCTTATGTTCCTTGAAAGATAATTGATATCTTGCCCGTGATGAATAGCCACTCAGCTCAGTATTTACCCGTGGAATTCGGCCACCTTTTCCGCGGAACCTTCTACCCCAAAAATATAAAAATGGTAGCAATGGAAACTGCATGCGCGGGAAAAAGTCTCAAAAAACTTGCAGCCCCAGTCAGGCGAGGCCTAGACACCGGGACTACATGAGGTGCGCTCATTCTCGCATACCTTCCCTCTTTATAACATTCAAGGCCGACTTGATCCAGTCCGCCATCTCAGTACTAGGTGCTGGGTGCGCTCCGGAAACTCATCGGATGGCTTCTCCTCCATAGTAATGGTGATAGGGGGGTGTGTTGAGGGATAAAGACGATACAGACTGCGAAAGCGATTGGGAACCCTAATGGAAGTGAGGACTTTGTTGCTCAATCTCGGCTCCGCAGACTCTACAGTGAGAGCTGGAAGGTCGTAGGGGACACCACTGACAGGTGTTGAGAATAGTCCCCCTTTGAACAATAGAAGACTATGTCTGTAATCCATATCTAAACCAATTAATTCTGATCATGTTTCTTCGTCTTTATTCAGAAGCCTAGGCTGTAGTGAAGAACGATTTAAAGTACCTTCCTTCAGAAAAAGGGATGAACACGTCATCTCCTTTTGATAGGTCTTATCAATCAGGAGTTTGTTGCCGAGACTGGCCCGCTTAAGCTACTCGGATAATTATTACATCCGCTATCCTTATCGGGCGCTAGAAAACCATGAAACAGTGAAGAATACTCCGGCGGAATCGAGCATCGCTTCCACGCCATCTATGGAGCAGCAAATAAATACAGGAATTTCTCCAGTTCAGGGTATAATGTCGAGCAGAGTTCGGACCGTTGTGTTTTAGGCTTTCTGGGTTGAACGTGGACATAATATCTTTTAGGAGAGTCCCTTGACTGAGATTTAGGGTGACTATTTCCAACACCTGTCAGAGGTGTCCCCTACGACCTTCCAGCTCTCACTGTAGAGTCTGCGGAGCCGAGATTGAGCAACAAAGTCCTCACTTCCATTAGGGTTCCCAATCGCTTTCGCAGTCTCTTTCGTCTTCATCTTGTGGATTCCAATTGATGGAATACCGGCCGTTCAAATTCTGTGCCGTTGATTGGCTCAAGTAGTGAGGGGGGGAACATACATATAACTCAAAATCCTGATTTGGCGTCATGAGGCCCATGCAGGTTTTTATCGGAAGAAATGTATTTTAAATAGGATGTCACAACTTGACGTTTAGAACACTCACACTCAGATTTCATTTGCAGATACCACTCGAGGTTAACTCTTACGGCGTATAACTTCTTCCGTTTATACCCACCACAGGAAAAAGCGTGAAAAACCTGTGGCTATCCGAGTCTGCTAATATCATCCCACAAATTCGATGTCACCGCGAGAGAGGGTGGTGAGTGGGGTTTACGACATTCGAACCAGCTTTCTCCTGTCTTGAATGGGATAGATGTTCAAGCTACCCAGTATCTACATGGGAGAACGGCGCGAATGGTGTACCACTGCACCATCCAACCCTTGGGGGGAAATTAAATAAGTTAGTGATCCTCTTTTATAGAAAGGAATGCACAGATTTTTAGACTCACGGTCTACTCACATCATAATGTCGATTAGTCGGAGCCACGAGACACCTACGTGGAGGGCAAGACTGAACACCTGTACGCGGTGTCCTCTACGAACCTGGGAGTGAAATATTCTTCCAGAGCCAAGTTCAGTCAAACTTCGCAATACCGAACAAGTTGGCCCACGAGGCAATGATTCAAAATACTCCACCATATCAATCTTTCACTCCCAGCGAAATCGATTAATACCTAAGCCTCATCAAGTCTACAAGTACGACTTAGTACATCCTCTTTCCATTGATCACACCTCTCGCCGACTTTCTCTGGCCTCAGCCGGTCACCAAATACACGCCCACGCCGATATTTATACCCGAGGGAGGACACAAAGCGTAGCGCACAAATCTGGGAGACAGTTCTTTGGGATTGGCGTGAGGGGATTAAGGACAAGTTAACAAGATGATGCGAAGATTCTCGCGGCGCTTGTATGCGTAGATGACGAAGGCATGCTTGGATAACCAAAGGTTTCGAAATTCCCTTTGATGGGTACTTACGGAGGAGGGTCGACTGTTTGTGTAAGCGAACATACCTCATAGTGATATTTGCAAATGAAATCCAGATCATGAGTGTTTCTGACGTCAAAAGAGTCATCCAATGTGTATATATAGCACCGGTCATGTGTCATAGCTCCATAGCTCAATATACCCTAAATGATTAAAAAAAAAAAAAAAAAAGAGACACCTATGTGAGATCATTGCGATCATAAACCGACCCACCAGAAGCCACAATCTCTCAACACAATCCCGAATTACATTGTGATGAAGCTAATCACTATCAGGCTAGATGGTTTGGTTGGAGCCCTTCTCATCACCAAGACCTGATTGTGGAGGAAAAGCCATCCGATGAGTTTCCGGAGCGCACCCAGCACCTAGTACTGAGATGGCGGACTGGATCAAGTCGGCCTTGAATGTTATAAAGAGGGAAGGTATGCGAGAATGAGCGCACCTCATGTAGTCCCGGTGTCTAGGCCTCGCCTGACTGGGGCTGCAGGTTTTTTGAGACTTTTTCCCGCGCATGCAGTTTTCATTGCTACCATTTTTATATTTTTGGGGTAGAAGGTTCCGCGGAAAAGGTGGCCGAATTCCACGGGTAAATACTGAGCTGAATGGCTATTCATCAAGGGGAATATATCAATGATCTTTCAAGTAACAAAAGAGGATAGTAGCACTGTAAAAGGTGTGGCCTAGGTCAGAGAGGAGCCCAATGTGCTAGATAGTCATAGACTAAAGTAGTTCAATAAAATATGACATTATTATTTTATGTGTGCTATGCGCGATGTTAAACGAGCAGTAATGATTGTGTCATCAGTGCTATCGTTACGCCATTTTTTCGTTTATTGGTACATTACCATCGACCTAACATCGAGTTGGATAACGTTGTGGTACAAAACTAAGGTGATCCCTCTTCCAGTGGTGCCGATGTAAACACTCAGTATGCTCTGTATATCTGAGATAGCCAAGAAGAATCGCATCCGAATCGAAGTCGAAAGCAACCTCAAGCACATCTCCAATTGACAACTTCTCGACCATGCCTCTCTTACCATTCTCATCTAAATCCTCAACCTGTTACGGCGTGCGCTAAGTATACTGGAGATCGCCGTCTGCCGAAGGTAAGGTATTAATAACTGTTAGGATTACAGTTGCTAACAAAGGATACTTAGATATGATTCGATTGGCGAGGTGCCAGGTAGTCAAAGGTTGTAGAACTACAGAATAGTTGAAAGACACAAAGTCAAGAAGTCGAGTTGACGAGCAGGCAATCAAGGCTGATAACTCAGGGTGAACAGAAGTACGAAGAATATAACGAATAACAAAAGACTGAGAATATCGGACTATGACAATATACGTGTCGGTTTATCACCGGTTCAAGATTATGTGCTAGCATAAAGAATGGGTAACAGAGTTATTGATCTAAAAAACGTATCTCTATCTATCTCTATCATGAGTACAGAACGGAAGTAAACCCCAACGCCGCACTGACACCACGTGACTAATATCTGTATACTTCTCCCATAGGTACCCTACCAACGCCAATATTCATACACTGACAACTCTTTAAATGGTAAATGTCGAACTCAAGAAATTATGAAAGAAAGTAATTCATCCCAAAAATACTAAATTTTATTTGCCATTGTGCATTCACTTCGGGTTTACCCATCCTTCCAGTCTAACTGTAAGTTTATTTGTCTCAATAAGTGTCCTTAGGGCCGAGGTAGCGTTTTCTTTTGTCATAGAGTCTGCTGGATTATCTTTACCATTGATCCACCTGATCTCTGCTAGCTCTCTTCGCTCATATGACTCACGTATTGCCATAACGTCAATCATTAGTCGTTTTTCTTTTGTCGTTCCAAGCTTCACTAAACATTCATATAGGCTGCGACTATCGGTACAGATAATTTATGGAACTACAGGTAGACCAAGTTGGCCCATGATCTGATTGACCGTCATGCAGAGTGGGATTGCAATATCAACGCCATGAGTCATTACATATAGCTCGGATGCTAGAACAGCTCGAGTCACTCGCTTGCATTTGGTTGAGCTCCAATGAATAATATTACCTCGGAAGGTGAATTCATTGTCACCAAGATCCTCATTCCCAAGTATGATAACAAAGCCTATCTGAGAGGTGAGGTCTTTATTGTTAGCAAATGAGCCGTCAACCCAATAGTAAACTTTTAACTTATTCAAATCTAGGTTGATGTATTTTAATCCCTTGCTTGGGTCGATTTGTTGTTTGTGAAGAGCGTTATTGAGTTCAATGATCTCCTGGTCTCCTGGCTCTTGATGCTGAGCTGCTCTTGAAAATCTAAAGGCGACAAGTGGTTGACAATTAGATGAAATCCAGGCTCCAAGAGCTCTTTGTCTCTTGTAAATATCGGTTCTGTTTGGATCTTTTACATTGGCCAAC